TAAGTTCATATATACTAGCATTTTCAAATGAAGAGTGATTTTTTATGAAGTTTTTAGTTCTATTTTTCATGTGTTTGATTAAATTATTATTAGTCTTAAAAGCGATTTTTACATTATTTTTATTGTTGTTCAGAAATTTAGTGAATTCGTTAGACATATTGTTTTGGTATTTCATCCTACAATACTCACAACAGGTAATTCACAATATCGAAGATATCATTTCGATTTTCGAGTATAATTCGAGCGTAAAGTTAAATCCTTTTCACCAAGGTAACTCATAAGTCAACACAAATTAATAGATTTTCTTGCTTTAAATACTAATAATTTTTTTTTAACAAATACGGGAAAAAAAAGTAGCCTATATGCTATGCCTGGTTTTCTATGATTATTATCAATAACAATTTTGTTTTAGTGTTATACCTTTCAGTCGAATGTAAACAGTAGACATACATATCAATATTGCACCTGATAGACGTAGTAGTTGTGTATTATATAGTCTCACATGTATGACCCGATCGATCTATATACCGTCTGAAATACCAGTTTTTTAATCCGATACTTTCATCGGGGGGCGTAGCTCAGATGGTAGAGCGCTCGCTTAGCATGCGAGAGGTACCGGGATCGATGCCCGGCGCCTCCAGAGCCGATTTTTTTTTTGCCTAATTAAATATTATTATCGCGTTTTTATTTATTTATTTATCGTATTTTTAATAATAACGAAAAATTAAAAGACTGCAGATACATTGTATACATTATGGTTTTTCACCAAAATCCATCCACGAGTCTTTTTAGATTTTGTGGGCACATATTATATTTGTATACTTACATTCTTTATAGTTAAATATCAACTGTCGATAGGGCAAATATCTGCAACAAAAGAATTGATAATACTGATGGGCGAGCTATTGTTGTGTTTGGATATTTCGGAAGGTATGAAAACATTTAGAAAATATTAAATAGTGATTTTTAAAAAATGTATTTAAAATTAAATATTCCGGTTGAACGATCGGATTTTCTGCGTTTTGTTAATTTGTTTGTATGATCACCGTTTATTTCGCCGTTTTTGTCGGTTTAACGGCTGATAACTGCTTATTTTTATAATATATACAATTTTGTATTTAAATATTTTTTAAATGTTTAGTTTAAAAAATTTGTCAAGTATTTATTCAGGGTTCAACTTATAATTATAGTAATATTTGATGAATATTGGATATTTATGAATATTTGGAATATGAATATTTATTAAATATTTATAAAATAGTTACTCACCGAGTGAGTCATCATGTTTGTGAACATAATAAGACCATGAGTTAATTTCAGTTATACAACGGTATACCTTGGTTTTAAAACATAAAATGCTGTGGTTTTTACGATTTTCGTCAAAATTCGAAATGAAAAAGAAAAAAAACTTATAAGACTTATTAAATTTATAACTGCTAAATTCTTCTCAACTTTTTTTTCCATACCACTAAGTACAACTTATGATAAACTTCGTGTTGGCAATCAGGATGCCACGATTAATTGAATTAGCGCACGAACAATGTCGAGTGGACGGGACGGGACGCTTAAAAAAAAAAAAAAAACGATATAAAAAAGGAAACGCGAATAAAAATAATTATTATCCAACTGTAATAGCAATAATATTTTTTAATCTTTATGTAATTTAATATAGTGTTCATTTGGAGGGGAAGTGAATACTTTTTTATGGTCGAATTATAACATTATGATAGCAATAAAAGTGCAATTTCTTGTATAAATTTAATTTATTTAAAGACGAATTTAACACGCGTTAAATTATTAATCTCCCTTTCTTCATTAAATTTCGTCACATTAACACGTAGGGTATTTTTTTTTATTTCACTGCCCGTAAAGTTTATGAATAATATTTTCCGCTTCCGCTACCATCACTGCCGCCGCCAACATGAATGTTTTTTTTTTTTTTTTTATAAAACATTTTCGTTTAATAATTTCGCCGTTCATCAATCGAATTCTTTTTATGTGAAAAATATCTAGGTATATATTTATTTTTTATTCGATTACTCGTGTAGAAATATTATCAAACGATATTAAGAGCGAATGTATTTTTTTTAAACGATTCTAATCGGAGAGAGACGCATTCTATCGTAATTTTACTAAATTACTATGAAAATATTGCATTTGCTTTTTTAAAATATTTTATTTTTATCATTTTACTGGATGTAAACAAGTTTTCTCGCTTCAATCAAGAACTCGATAGGTACGAGAATTTAGCGAAATATTCATAAAATACTCTTTTGAGTATTTGCTGGACGAGAATTAATTTCGAAAATTTGTTGAGCTCTTGAGTTAATTTGAGTAACAACTTTTTTCTTTATCATATATATATATAGAACCACGGAAATTCGATATAATAATAGTTAAACGAATAGGTCGCTCATGGAAATTAAAATTTTAACGTAAAGATCAAGAGAAATTGTAAATTATTTTGTATAGTATAATTTTCAATTAGGGTTTAATTAAAAATATATGACCGAGTCAGTGTTGTAACCAGGAATCTTCTTTTTTTTTTTGGGTGGGGGAGGAGGAGGGTAAGTTTTAAATTTTATACAAACTTCTGGAAAGGTTTTTGGGAATAATAACCTACTTAATGGATGGCATGCACGATGTGCACGTATATTCAAAATTTGCAGGAAACGTTTGCGATTGCAATAAAAACTATGTAACTATATTATACAGAGTTCGTAAAAAAATCTCAAACTTTGATGGGAGGCGGGTTATATAACCTTTCTCTCCAATTGTCCTACTGATCTGAGCTATATCAAATAAAGAGTGAAAATTACGAAAAAAAAATATCTCAAAAATTGACTTAAATTGGACTTAAGATAATATATAATAATTATGTATATATATGTTCAGATTTCAGAATCGTTTTTTCTCCGATTTCTGCCGTCGTTTCTTTCGGATGTAATGTCATTATTATATCCAATAATCTCGTACGTTTGTCGAATTTCATTTCGTCAAGCACAATAAGTCGTTAAATATACTGAACTCTGGAGCATTTATCACGATCGTACATACATCACATTTATCCGGACGGATTTCATCCGGAACGTTACGCGCCGTCTTATATTCTCGTTTTCGCGTACTCGCGAGAGCTTTACAGTGGAAAACTTTCGTTTGTCAATTCATCGTGTAAGATTCGTTTGTTTATCTCGTGTACGTTTTGTTTTTTCTTCCACCTTGTCTCGCGAATTCGATCGTCGCTTTCGTCATCACGTTGTTTAATTCCTCACCGAAATCCTAGCTAATATGAAGATGATGCGATCGGCGATAGATAAACTCAGCTATATACAGAGCGATGCGTATTTTATCGTCGAATATTTTTAGAAATTATTTTATTTTTTTTTTCGTTTTTCCACTCCTAACTTCCGTACACAAACTGACAAATCTTATACTCAACAATATTTTCAAATAGAGTACATCACGATGACCTTGTCTTGACTTCAAATTTCAAAAATTGGGTTCCGACATTTTTTATCGGATATACAATCGCTCGATGGGAGTTGTGAAAAGTTTGGACGGTAGACGGGAAATATATATATATTCTGTATTCAACGATTAATCATTGCTAATGAAAAACAATTCTAAGCGGAGTGCGGTTATACATGTTTTGAAAGGCCGTAATATTTACGATTTGAAAAAAATTAATTTTGCACATTTTCCCGTTTTTTCTCATTTATTATGAAAATCTATAGTGAAATCGAAAAATTGACCTTTTTGAAGTAACACTCCAGTCAAATTTTTTTTCAAAAAGGTGATACATTTGAAAATCTAAGAAAAAATGTCTGGTAGAAAAGTTGTTTATCGAAAAAAAAAATGAACATTGTAAAACTTATAAATTCCTCGCTCCGCTCAGAATCTAAAAATATGTTTAGCGTTATGTTGTAGTTTTTTTTTTATAAGAGTTTTAAGATCAAATTGTTTGTTTTTTTTAGTTACTTTACTCTGATATGTATAAAATAGTTTTTAAATTTTTTTTTGTTTATAGTTAATATATACAGTGAGTGTAAAAAGTATTCGTACACCCTACTTTTTTAAATAAATATTCATTTTTTTCATGATATTCTATTTTTATCGATAAATTAATACATGCATATTATTCATTGACGATTTTTAATTATATTAAAAAAAAAAAAAACCATGACAAATGTTACAAACAAAACAAAACATATAAAATAGGAATAATAAATATTCGTACACTTCTATTTTAGTTACGGGATCACCTGGTTACTCACAATAATGTTATTAGAAAACGATAAGATATATAAAATGTCACATTAAAAGTTCGTCCCCGACCACGTTACAAGATTATACCAATTCAGTTAGCTTGGAAATATTATTGGAATATCATCTATCACAAATTGAGTCGAAAAAAATGCGAGACAAATAAAACTGAACGTGAACTAATTCTGCGGTTGCATAATCAATGCCAATCATTACGTCAAATATCAAAAATTGTCAACAGAGCTCATAGCACTGTGAAAGACGTGATAGATCGATACAGTGAGCGGAAAAGTCACGATAATAAGTAACGATCTGGTCGTCCAAAAAAACTTTCTGACCACGATAAACGTATAGTTTAACGAAAAGTCAAATTGAATCCAAAAATAAGCGCTCCTAAAATAGCACAAGATCTTGCGAATTTTTCTGGAGTACTTGTTTGTGTAAGTACAATTAGAAATTGTTTAAAAAATAGTGATTACCATGGACGAGTAGCTCGTCGAAAATATTTTGTAAATAAAAAAAATAGACAAAAGAGATTTGCTTTTGCAAGAGATAACTTACATCAATCTGATAACTTTTGGAACAAAGTTATATTTACAGACGAAAGTAAATTTAATATTTTTGGCTCTGATGGAAGACGTTTTGTNGTTGGAAACTTGCACTTTATTGATGGAATTATGAACCAATATATTTATTTAAATATTTTTAAGACAAATCTTGCAGCTAGTGCCGAAAAAATGGGCATCAAAGATGATTTCATATTTACACAGGACAATGATCCCAAGCATACTGCAAAAAAAGTTAAGGCTTGGTTGTCGAACAATGTAACTGAATATCTTGTGACGCCACCACAGTCTCCAGACATTAATCCTATTGAGAATTTGTGGGGTTATTTAGACAGAAAAATTCGAAATCACAATATTTCAAGTAAGGAAACTCAAAAAAATGCTCTAGAAGAAGAATGGAATAAAATCACAGCAGAAACAACACGTCATCTGGTTGATTCAATGTCTATGAGGTTGGAGGCTATAATAAGAGCCAAAGGCTATCCTACAAAGTACTAAATAGGGCTATACAATAATTTAAAGGCATTTTTTTTTTGATACAACTCTTTATTATTATTATTATTGTTCACTATTATATATTTATTGTTTTGTTTTTTATTGAATATTGTTATTAATATAACTGTTGTCATGGTTTTTTTTTTTTTAAATTTAATTAAAAATCATAAAAGAATAATATGCATGTATTAATTCATCGAGAAAAATAAAATATCATGAAGAAAACTGAATATTTATTTAAAAATGTAGAGTGCACGAATACTTTTTACACTCACTGTATATTATTAACTGTATATACATGTATACAACAATATATATATATTATTGTAGCTTATGCTAGGGAAGAAATTGAAATAATTTTCAGTTTCTTAACTTGACACGTGCCGGTTTCACATTGCCGATATTAACAGAATTAATATCAAATATTATTGGGGATCAAATTCGAGTATTTAAAGTTACACCACGGACTCCACTGTGTTTAATTTAAACAATCAAATATCTCAGGAGGATCTCAATATTGACGTTAGATTTTCGAATATTAATTAATATATGTACATATATTTTTTGATATGCGTAACATACGTATATGATTTATAGTAACATCATTGAACGTAATATTAACTATCTATAACGAATGAAAACCAAAATCAAATTATCCTAAAATCTTCGTAGACAATAATTGTTCATATAAGCACTGGGATCGCTTTGTATATAACATCGGGTTAAGATAATAAAAAGACATTTCGACTTTAATTCGATTGGGGCGGCAATAACGCGTTTACCATGGACGCATTGACATAATGGGTATATTATATTATTATATTGTTATCTTTCGTCGAATTTACAGATTAAAAAAATTTCACGAAAATGTGTTCGTAAACGCCAAAGTAAAATGTGCGCATATAAATATAACAGGGTATTATTATAGACACATAATGATACAATGTTACAATCGACTACCGTATAAAAACGATTCTATGTATCAATTATAATAATATAATATTCAGTCCAAACTGCGTATAGCTCTCTAGGGGCGAATCTCAGGGGTCATCCATCACCCTAGTAGTGCATGGCTACACAATTAGTTTGGATTCTAATCGTAATGAATAATATTGTATTGGTTTAACTTAGATGTGTTTATATTTGTTAACAACTTTTCTACCAGAAATATTAAATAAGCGAGTGTACCATCTTTTCTGAAATCAAATTTAAAGAGAATTTTTACATAATGTTTATATTAGTTTTTTTTAAGGCACTGTGAACATTTAAAAATACTCTGGCGATATTTGAGCTATTCATTTTAGGCATTTGAGATTTTTGTGTTTTTTAAATTTTTGTTTAGTTTTATGTGGATGAAATTGTTTTGGCCAAGCAGAAATGCTTGGACATTTTACGCGAGGTTTTTCATCAGTTGTATGTGCAAAAACAAAAAGTTTAGTGTAATGTAGTAGTTTTTATTTAAGCATTTCACGTACAATTTTTGACAGGAATCGTACAGATCAAGGGATTTAAAAACATTGTTGAACTGAATTTCACTCAGAACCGTATTTTGTTTTGTTTGCAATGGTTTATTATTGCGTATGGGTATAAATTAAATAACTTTATGTATTCTACCTTCTCAATTTTCCATCTAAAACTGTGGTAAACCCGTCAGCAGTATCACTAGTATTAGCTTTTTCGTTTTGAAATTATTGTGGGCCATCAAAAATATTTAAATCTAAATGATTCACCTAAATTTATAGATATGAACGAATCTGTACATTTATTTTAAAGTAGTGATATATATTAAATTATTATAGTCAAATAACTCATCAATAAGAAACAATTTCGTGTTTTAATTTATTTATTTTGAAATTGTTTAAGTCTACGATACGTTCTTTAATTCACGAAATCGCTTATACTGCATAGACTTTTCCACAAATTTCCTGTCGCAATTGAGAAATTCAAAAAACGACTCCTTTTGAAAAATTACCTACCATCATTGCGGTTCTATCATTATAGGTGCCTATCTATAACATAAAGTCATCGCGTGAAACTTTTCGAGCACGTACACTGCTCTATAATACTTGTTTCTCGGGAAAGGAAAAATCATTATACGCACACGTTGCACACCCACAGACACATCTTTGTAAAATCAATGACTCCTAAGCTAGGGTTCCGCGACGCGTCTGCAAACAAATAGTTGTTACTGCTGATGATTAGGCGTCCCTTTAAGAGCTGGGTATCAGAAAAGTAGAATAAAATATAGGGAAATGTATTAGCTTAAATTCAGGTTTATAAACAATAATACCGGCATTCCTTGGTGAAATTCAGCTAAACATTTTTCTTTAGATAGTTAAAAGAGTTAAAAATCTGAAACGCGTTCACGAGAAACCGTTTGTTTTTTGTTTAGATAATATTATTTTGCGGAAACATGGCAAAACAAAATATAAATAACTGAGAGACGCGTGAGAGTTGCAAGGTGACTCAAATATCACGAACCAACGATTTCATCAAATGATTATATGTGAATTTAATTTTTGTTTTTTTTTTTTTTTTTTTTTTTTTTTCATTTGTTATGAAATCGTTTAAGCTTTATTTGATCAGTATTTCAACTCTACTTCTTATAATTTAAATAAGTGAAAATTTGGTCTAGCTACGGCCTTGTTCAGTGCACGGTATGGAATACATTATGGCGAATATTGGATTCATAGCATAGCCTATATATAATGATAAATAACACAATCTGTTCACGTGCGGGTTGCTGAAGTGAACGCTGAATAATATGCCATTGCCAGTCCTCCGACAAAAACGATATAATTTTACCAACGGAATGCTACAACTCTATAGTGACCGGGAGGGGGGGGGAGTGAGTAGGGGAGAGCGAGGCTCGGCTCTCGCGACTTCCGCAAAACGTTATACAAAAGCGACCGAAATAAAACGTCGTCTTCCGGGCGCTCTAATTCCGGTTTCCTTTACGTTCAACGTCGCCGCGGTCCGCGATACCGATTTCCGGGGTTATCCGCGGAGAGACGGCTGCGAGCGGAAATCGGTCGCGCGCGTCACGGCCGACGGGCCGGCTGCCGGCGAAGTTCGGCTGCGACCCGTACACAGTGTAGGTCGCCTATACGGTTACAAATTACCGACGCGTAGGTTATATTATCGCAGGTTAACGTATAGGAGTTATACACTGTTATACGTTTTGCGAAGAGGAGGAGCCGGCGAGTACGAGTTACGCTTATACGTATACCAGTTTCGCCGGAGATATTTATTTCACGTCACGGCGGCACGTCCCAAGGGTGGTTATGTAATATATATCGAGGAATTACCGAAAGCCGCCGGAGTACACCACCGCAGAGCGTATGTGTACGTGCACACACTTAGGCGTACTTGTACACGTGTGTCTAATGTGTATACAGGGCGCGTCACTCGTTTACCCGGCGGTTAATTATTTACGCGGACACCTTTTATACACTCGCGTGTTTCGGCGGGACGGGCGTGCCGCGATAAACCGCCGCCGGAGCGAAAAAAAAATAATAAATACCGCCGCCGCTGTATATTATATACCGTAGCGGTCAATACGGCACGCCTAGCGCGCGCATTTATAGCGCGACAACGGCTCAAGTAAGTACCGCGGTCTAGGTACATGGGACGGTCCAAAGTACGGCCCGCGAACAAGTTTTGGCCGGCCCGCCGGTAGACAGGTTACCTCGTCTTATCTTTAGACGGAAACGGTAAACCGTCAACGTACTATGAAGCACTCGAAATCGCATATCGACTGTAGAAACGTTATGGACCATAGGAACCTCAGTTGATTGTTTATAAATTTCTTCTAAATACATGGCATTCAAATCCGAACCAAGTGACAGTTAAGTCGTACTCGTGGTGTACAATACAACATGTACATGCCGCGTGTTCCACCCATTTTTGTGATCATTTGTTTCTAAGACGAAATACATTCAATTAAAATATAGATATGTCGGCTGTGTCGGTCCAACGTTTGGTATTACGAATAGTTTTGAAAATTACAATCAAGCATACAATAGAAAAGCGCGGGGATCGCAATGTAAACCACCGATTCGCGGCCCCAAACACGATAACTCGAAAGTGTACAAGAATCATATCACAGTTAAATTATGCGACATTAGTAGCGTTAAAAACGGTTAGTTTGCAGTTTTGTGATAACAGAGGAAACATTTACGGCCCGTTTCCCGGTCACTTTCAACTGACCGTTATAAGGCAATAACACGTTACCATAAACACGTATCTTAAATACCTATTTATACCTATTTTGAATGGTGATACTCACATGGGTACTCGTAAATAACAAAATATATTGGCGCTTCGTAACGAGTGGATTTACACAAAAGTTCTATTGCGTATTGCGACGACGAGTTATAGTTGTAAATATTATTAAATTCTTGTTTTTGAAAACGAGTTAAGCGGAACGTTCCGTACGTATTACATACACGAGAATCGCATAACGCATTTAAGTACGCGCGATAGCGGAACGCGTTTGCACGTACGGTTTACGTGGCCGAAAAGTTTAAGACCGAGTTAACCGATGGTCAGCAAGTCGCAAGTATAACATTATTACGACACGCTATATGTACCGCGGTTATTACCGGACAGCACTGCTCGTTTTACGCCGTTATAATACATGTCTAAACAACGTAAACGGTGTCTACGACGTTTCGCACGAAGAATATGATATTCGCGCGAAAGACCAAAACGATACGATAAAAACCGCGGCGAAGCGGTCCTCTATTTCCCCTACCAAAAATCGTTCAAACACCGCGTCGCGAAATATTCATTTTTATTCGTACAGCGACAATACTGTCTACGCAACATAAACCCTTATTTCGCATTCAAAAGTTTATACGAAATTGCCAAGACCGTATACAATAGTATAATAGTATAATATCATATTATTACGTACCGTTAAAAATAACTCGGGCCCGTTTCCCCTATAAGCTTGCGGATCGCGATTTAAACGATTTCGTGAATTTTGATTCGGATGTATA